ATTACAAGCGTGAGCCACCACGCCTGGCCAACACAGGTGGATTTCTGAACAGTCTCTGAAAATACTAATTGCTTTCCATAAAGACTTGTGGTGGCTTTTTTAATACTATAGAGAGGAAATTCCAATCACCACCTTATATGTTAAAGTATGCTTATCACAACATTGAATTCTTTTCAACAGTCTTGGAAGATGCTACAAAAACACCTGACTGTTCCAGTGGACCAGTGAAAGAGGAAAGAGGTGATCTTATCAAATTTTACAATACGATATATGTAGGAAGAGTGAAGTCATTTGCATTGAAATACGACTTGTCAAATCAGGACCATGTGGTATGTTTCATGTTTTACTACTTTGTTAATATTGTATTACTATGAGTTTATTTTTGCTAAATATTTCAGAGTTTAAAGCCTCACTGATGCATTATATAAGAGAAAATGTATTATCAGTTAATCAGAGAATGACTAATAACTTAATCAGAATGATTAAGACTATAATACAACAGAGACCAAAGGGAATCATGGGAATTTTATCTATACTGTGATTATGTTGCTAGAAATTATGTATTCATATGGGTAAGGTCTAGATGGGAACACCAAAATATTAGAACAATTTGGGTAATTTTTATTTTGGTTTCTCTTGTTATATTGGGGAAGATAAATGTTTTTCTCAAGATAAAGAGAAAAGGAAATAAGTAAGTAGGCCTGGATCATTAATAGAGGCAACACTAAGAAATTTTTTTATAGTCCCTAGTTTTGGCAGTAGCAGCAGACCTGAAAAAGTGTTACCAGTGTATAAGCTGAGGTGGGTTACCAGGATACCAGCCTTTAGCTATAAGAAAGAGGGTCCTAGTAGAAGCTGCAGCCAGCCAGCCAGTAGCATGTTGTGAGGATAGTCACTGACCATAACTGTTGATCCTGTTCCGTCAGTTCTGCCCCCTCTCTGTCACGTGCTGTGCTATGAATATCTTCATCATTAGCCAACTGAAACTAGTTGTATTAGCTTCAGGTGAAGATGGTGAGTGAAATATTAGATAAGGCCGGGCACGATGGCTCACGCTTATAATCCTAACACTTTGAGAGGCCAAGACAGGAGTCTCACTAGAGGTCAAGAGTTCAAGACCAGCCTCAGCAAGATCAAGACGCTGTCCCTATAAAAAATAGAAAAAAACTAGCTGGGCATGGTGGCATACACCTGTAGTCCCAGCTACTCAGGAGGCTGAGGCAGGAAGATCACTTGAGCCCAGTAGTTCAAGGTTGCATTGAGCTATGATAAGGCCACTATACTCTAGCCTGGGCAATACAGTGAGACCCTGTCTCAGAAAAACAAGAAAGAAATATTAATTAGGGAGCCATCTCTATTTCTGTTGTACAGAATATTAAAGAAAAATGAAATCCTTGCTAACCTAATTTATGTCTAAATCTTTTGCATTTCTGTGTCTTTCCCATTTCCCTAACAGGTTTTTTTCCACGTTGAAATCATCTTACTGGCTCATAGAATTCCCTGCCTCTCTTTTATTCATTCTGTTACTGTTTTGGTCGTGGGTGTGTATAAGTGTAAAGAGATTCTTATTGCAAGTATTAGAATGTTGATTATTCTTTGTCCCTACTTTCTAACAACTACTTTCTTACCACTCCTGATGTCTTGCCCAGAATTCTTAATACTAGTCACAGAATTTCCTGAAAGATCCAGAAAAATAAATTCTACTTTATCTGTTAATAATTGTTAAAAAACAAACAACAACAAAAAAAAACAAGGTGTAATGAGCCATTTCTTTGCACTTTTTAGCCATAAATCTCTTGCAGTATAACTGACTCCTAACTAGGAGATGCCATAAGAATAAAAATATAGTGGAATTCAAAAAAACAAAAACTTTTATCTTAAAAATCTGACTTTTGGGTTATTTTAGATGGATGCTCCACCACTCTCTCCTTTTCCACACATTAAGCAACAGCCAGGCTCACCACGCCGCATTTCCCAACAACACTCCATTTATGTTTCCCCGCACAAGAATGGGTCAGGCCTTACACCAAGAAGCGCTCTGCTGTACAAGTTCAATGGCAGCCCTTCTAAGGTAAGGTGCATACAGGCTTTACTCCACACAACTTACATACATACATATGTTAAACGTTGGATTTCAGATTACCAATCAATAATCATTAATCTGGCCTTTTTTTTTTTTTTTTGCCAAATTATTCCTGTACTGATAAAATATTGAACTGTTAACTCTAGCACGTTTCCTGTGATCTAGAGCAGTATATTCAGTTGAAGTAGTTTAATCCATTACTGTTGATATATTTGGGGAGTTCACCTCAAGAGTCCAGTGTGTCTCCCTGTTCAAGCATGCTCTTGAGAAGGGACCCATAAAGCAACACCTGCAAATGGTCAGACATGGGGACTGTTAAATTTAAAGAAAGGCCTTGGAAGTGAAAGTGCATTGGTGCATAGCAACCAGGATAGTGAAAAGTCTGAAAACAGGGGCCTCCTCTTATGTACATAGACAACTCTGGGGTTGTCTCTATCTTATCTCCATATGGTGATGAAGATGTGACATGGATATGATTACTGTTTTCAGATATTTCAAGGACTATCAAGCAGATAAGTTCAGTATGTCTCCAGAAGCCAGAATCAGTATCAACTGAAAGAAATTGTAGTGGGGCAGATTGTAACTCAGTTCAAATACAAGGACAGCTCCTGAACTCATTAGTTTCCTATTCAGTTCCACAAACACCTATTGAGTTCTTACTATACTTGATAAACAAGGTTGACTAAGATACATATACCAGATTTATTTTTCCACTTTATAGAAATTGATTTCCTATAAAAATGTTTAGAAGAGATTCTTGCGTGGAGTCAAAGATTAGACCAGTTGACTTTTAAGGTAGTGATTCTGAAACCATGCGTCAGAATCACCTGTTGAGCTTATTGAACAGATACCTGTCCCACAGACCTATTGAATCCAAATCACTACCGGGCAGGTCTGAGACTAGTTAAAACAAGCTCCATAGATGTTTGTGATGCACAGATTTCAGGAACTGCTTCTCTGAGAGCTTGTTAGAAACAAAGAATCTCCGCCAGGTGTGATGGCTCACGCCTATAATCTTAGCACTCTAGGAGGCTGAAGTGGGAGGATCCCCTGAGAGTTCAAGACAAGCCTGAGCAGGAGCAAGACCCTATCTCTACCAAAAATAGAAAAGAATCAGCCAAGTGTGGTGGCACACGCCTGTAGTCCCAGCTACTTGGGAGGCTAGAGCAGGAGGATCACTCGAGCCCATGAGTTTAAGGTTGCAGTGAGCTGTGATGATGCCACTGCACTCTACCCTGGGCAACAGAGTGAGACTCTGTCTCAAAAAAAAAAAAAAAAAAGGAAAGAAAAAGAAACATAGAATCTCAGGCTCCATACCAGCCCTGATAATTCTGGGTCTGCATTTTAAAGATCCCCAAATGATTAATAAGCACATTAAAGATTGAAATACATTACTCTGAAGTAAAGGATCTCAAACTTCAGGAAGCGTCAGAATCACCTGGAGGGGATATTAAAACATAGGTTGGGGCTGCAAAAAAAACCAAAAAGAAACATAGATTGCTGGGCTCTACCCCAGAATGTTGATTTCGGTAGGTTTAGGGTGAGCCTTGAGAATTTGCATTTTGAATAAGTTCCTACATGCTTCTGCTTCTGGTCTGGGGACTACACTGAGAACTACTGTTACAAGGTTAAATCCAATTTTTTAAGCCACCTGAAAATATTAGTTCTAGCCATCCTTAATAAATTGGTCTAAATTCAAAAAATAATCTCTACTCCAGTGTTTAGATTTGGATAGATGATAGAGGACAGGAAAATGCAGTTAGCTTGGTTATTTGCTACTGTTTCCCTCCCCACACCTGTTTCTTTTACTCACACATGTCCTCTGTTTTTACACAGAGTTTGAAAGATATCAACAACATGATAAGGCAAGGTGAGCAGAGAACCAAGAAGCGAGCAATAGCCATCGATAGTGATGCAGAATCACCTGCCAAACGCCTCTGCCAAGAAAATGATGACGTTTTACTTAAACGACTACAGGATGTTGTCAGTGAAAGAGCAAATCATTAATGTCATTCCTGTTTCTATGATAAAAGCACTTTCAGTTTTTCCGCAGAAAGTTGGAGCTCTGTCCTTCACATCTTTCAGTGCTGTAGATGGTAAATATCACTGGGTTATAAGAAAAAGTGCACCAAAATTATGTGCTTTTTTTTTTTTTTTACGTTTATCCAAAATGTAGTTGACAGAAATGTTTTTTGAGTTGGGTTGGAAAGGAATATTTTAAGTGCCTTTTAGAAGTATTAACAGTCATAGAATTTTTTAACTGTTCCTTGGGTTAGTTATTAAGATAAAGTAAGGAGGAGCCCCATAACTTTTTAGCTGTCTTTTAAAAATAATCAAATGTCTCCTCGCGTGCTTTGTAATGTGAGGATAATCTACTTTTGTTAAGCATGCTGTGAGATATTTCTATTTTCAATTTAATATTGAAGATAAGGGTTGGTTCCCATAGTACCTGGGCCAGAAGATGATGCACCAGCCTATCTCTGGCCCACTGTAGTAACTCTGCATCCAGGTGCCACTGTTTTTCTGGGTTGTCTGATCCCTTCTTGTGCCCTTCCTCTCCTTGAGCATAAGCAAATTGTGCCTGAGCCTCTGTGCTACCCCCATTCCTTGCTTTCCAACCTTGAGCTCTCTTAGCTTGGTGTCACAACCCAATAAAAGGGGTACTTCTTTTTTAAATTACTATCATTTTGTTTTTTATGACATTAACTTAATTATGCATGATCATAGTAAGTCACATAATTTTCAAATATGAAGCTGCTTCTCAAGCCAATAGAATAAAATTCAGAGTAAGTTATTAGAAACTGAATTTCCTATTAGTAAGGTAGCACCATGATAATGTGTGATATACTGTTTTTGAGGTCATCATAAGATCATTCTCAATGTCTAATTGATTTCCTAAGAGTATTTGAAACCTTTTTTTAAAACCTTGAAAATCACCTCATGCCTTACAATTCTAATACACATCAGTAAAATAACTACTTATTATTCCCTTTGTTCTCGGTATTATTAGTGCATCATGAGTTTCCCATTAGAGTTTGACCACTGGGTCCCCCTGAAGATGTTTTTCAGTAGTGATACAGCTCTCCAAAGGATCAGCTCTTCATCATTCAATTTTTTCTAGTGTGTTTCTAGAATCTGGAAGGACATGGATAAGCCATTCTTCACTAATTTTGAGAAGATTTATCAAAAAACTTAATGATTGAAAGGTATAATATTTATCTTACCTATGTCTAATCATGGTTAATTTGAAATAGTCTAAGATTTGGCTGTCAATTAGCAATTAATATTGTCATGAATTTTATTTTTCAATTTTAAGAAGAAAAGGGATTTTGGTCACATTTTACTTAACTGAAAATTATGTCCTCATTCTTTGTGTACTATCTACACATTGTTATAAGCCAAATCACATAAAGTCTGTGCCTAACATGATGGCTCACGTCTATAATCCCACTACTTTGGGAGGCCAAGGCAAGAGGCTTGCTTCAGGCCAGGAGTTGAGTTTGAGACCAGCCTGGGCAACATAGCCAGAACCCCATCTCTAAAAATAATTAGTTGGGTGTGGTTGTGTGTGCCTATAGTCCTAGCTACTTGGGAGGCTGAGGCAGGATTGCCTGATCCCAGGAGTTTAAGGCTGCAGTGAGTTATGATCTTACCACTGCACTGTAGCCTGGGTGAGAGAGCAAGACCCTGTCTCTTAAAAAAAAAGAAGAAAAAAAAAAGTAAAGTCTGTCTTGAATCCTTGTACATATTTTTATGTAGCTGTAACTATTGTATCATTTTTATCTCCATTATTAATGTGCAAAATATAAATGAACATTTGTACATTGACTATATAAGAAACTCTGGACATGTTTTTATCAGTTTTTAGGACTTGGTATCAATGTACATAAAATGGTTAATAAAAATTTGAATTTTTGAGATTGTTAACAAAACTATACTTTTGCTCTCTTTTGTATGACAGAAGTAATTGTACAGATATCTAAAATCTATGTCTTTTAAAATATCTACTTTATATCTTTTAAATTCCTTAGTATGTCTTAAAAGTTGATATTCCTGTGGTTTCTAGTGGGAGAATGGAAAGTAACTACTAATGGGTGCAGAGTTTTTTTTTGGTGGGAGGGTTGGTGAAAACTATTTTGGAACTTGATGTGGGTGGTAGTTGCATAACATTGTGAACTTACTAAATGCCACTGAATTGTACACTTCAAAATGATTCATTTTATGTTATGTGAATTTAACTTTAATTTTTTAAAAAACCCTTAGGTACATATAAACAGGATTAGCCTGGGCACAGTGGCTCACGCCTGTAATCCTAGCACTTTGGGAGGCCGAGAGGCAGGAGGATCATTTGAGGCCAGGAGTTCGAGACCAGCCCGAGCAAGAGTGAGACTATTGTCTCTGCAAAAAATAGAAAAATTAGCTGGGCATGGTGGCATGCACCTGTAGTCCCAGTTGCTTGGAAAGCTGATGAGGTAGGAGGATCACTTGAGTCCAGGAGTTTGAGGTTGCAGTGAGCTATGATGATTCCACTGCACTCTAACCTGGGCAACAGAGCAAGATCCTGTCTCAAAAAAGAAAGAAAGAAAAAGAAACTTGATTATTTCAAGGCCTTGGAATAAATATGTGAACCAAGTTATATAGAATTAAGGAAAAGGCTCCATTTTTCTCTTAGGAGTGCTTTTAGGTGTATTTCTCCTTCATGTGATCCATGGCTCAAAAATTATTTTCTAATTAAGATTTTAATGTGGTTAAATTATATCGAATCACATTTTTAAGAAAAGGTAATCCTCCTGCTTGTTTTAATTTGGTTCCTTTTGAGTGCTTCCACTAAGTCAACAAGCATTTATTGGTTGTCTACTCTGTGCCTGGTCCTCTCCTAGGTGCTAGGGATATAAAGATGAACCAGACATAGTTCCTGTTCTCAAGATATAATATTTGTAGCCCATTAATATAATGCGATAAGTATAGTAATATAGCTCTGCACCAGGATGGGTGGTATTAGCATGGAGAAGAGAGTGATTCACTCTGCCTGTGTGACAGGGAAGCCTCTAAAACGGAGGTTATTTAGTCCTTACGAATGAATAACTGCCAGGACAGTAAAAGTATTCAAGACAGAAAGAACACAACCTGTAGAAAGGCCCAGAGACATGAAAGTATATAGGATTAAGAATTCAGGTAATGTAGTGAGGCCGGAGTGTAGTGTGCTTGTGCAAAAGTGTGATAGAAAGTAAAACTAGATCTCCCCACAGGGAGAAAAAAAGAAAAAAAAAAGTAAAGCTGGAAAGACAGGCAGGGGACTTTCATAATTGAGCTTTTAAAGCCAGGTTAAGGAGCTTAGCTTGATCGTTTTCAGTGTTTCTCAATGCAACTGAGGAGCTCTAAAAAAAAATAACATCAATGCATGGATCCTTCTTCCCCCAGAGATTTCTGATTTAATTGATTTAGGAGCCAGCTAGGCATCAGGATTTTTAAATAGTCCCCCATGAGCACCTAAGGCTGAGAACCATTGCTGTAGGCCATGGAAAGCCACTGAAGAGGTTTTAATTTTAAGTAGATAATGACAAAATCTGTTGTTTATTTTGGAGCTGCAGTTCCCTAATTTGACCAAGGACAATGATTATCTGAGACATATTAACAATACAGATTTGTAGTCTCCACCCTTGACCAGTGGAATCATAATCTCCAGGGAAAGGACCCAGGAATTTTGTTTCATTAACCTCCATTCCAAGTGATATTTACCCTGGAGCAAGTTAGAGACCTTCTGGCAGTGCTGTTCAAACTTAAATGAGCATAGGAATCACCTGGGATTGTTAATCTTGTTAAACATGGAGAGCCTAATTTTAGTAAATCTGGGGTTGGGCCTGAATTGTTTTCTAACAAGCTCCCAGGTGATGGCCAATGCTGGCAGTCCAAGGACTACACTTGAGTAGCAAGGCTTAGAGCTCTGGAATTGGTACAGAGGGTGGATTAGAGGATGGCTAGACTGAAATCAGAGACAAATTAGGTTAGTGCTTCTTAACTTGGGGCAACTTTGCCCCTCTTATGGACATTTAGCAATGACACTTTTGGTTGTCACAGCTGGGGCAGAGGATGCTACTGGTATCTAGTGGGTAGAAAGCAGGGATATTGCTAAATATCCTATAATGTACAGGACAGCCCCCCACAACAAAGAATTATCTAGCCCAAAATGTCAATAGTGTTGATCCTTAAATTAAGTGATTATAAACACCTCACTATCTTAAAGCTGTACACTTTAAGATAGCGGTAACAAGGATAGAAGAGGAACCAGAGAAGGTCACCCAACTGTGGGCATGTATCCCAGTCAAGGATGGCTTCATAAGGAAGATGACTTTCCAGAAAGGATCAATAGTAACAGTTTCCATGTGGGGTAACTAATATGTATGTGAAGGTATTTGACATCAGTAACAGTCTCTTAATATATTAAGAAGAAAATGCCCCTGAGGTTCTAGGCAGTGGTTCCATCAAACTTCCCAATGGTAAGAACACCTTTGAGGGTTTACTAAGTACACAGGTTACTAGACCTGTCCCCTGGAAACTGATTCAATAGTGTGGCCCAGGAACAGTTTTGTTTACAAGCATCCCAGGCTCTTCTTATCAGTGAAGTTTGGGATGTACCTGTCTAGAGTTCAGCAGCAGAGCGTAACAGCCAAGAGTGTAGAGACTGAGGTTCAAATATCCTCCTTGCCACTGCACCACCAAACCAAGTTGGACTTCACAATTTACTTTCCCTCATTTAGTCATCAGCACTTCAGGTTACATTTCCGGAACTGTTTTAAGTTTCCTTGGCTGTAATTGTATTGACAAATTCATTTTTTAAATAAGGCAAATCTGTTTTCATTACCACCTGAGATGGTTTTTGTTCCTTCAATTTAGGCAATAATATGACCACTAATTGTAGATTTTTTTATTACATTTTAGCTGTGACATTGAATATTTAATCCTCAGCATGGCTTTAGTTGGAATATAAAACATTTTTTAAATGTGCA